TACTTTATTATAATAAAAATTATAATAACACAAACTCAGATAAACCATATATTGTCGTATTCGTGTGTTTATTAGTCACGTTGAATTAATGAAAGCTGTTGAATCTTCTGTTTATTCAGCTGCAGCGATAGGCATTTTCTGGGTTTCTTCTGCGAGGCGTATTTGGAGTTTCAGCGCGAGAGCGCCCTCTGGCCTTTGGATGGAGATTTACTGCTGATCACAGAACCGTGCTTCACTGAAAGATACGCATGACAATCGCAGCTTCTGTCGAATCGCGATCTCGATTTCGATTTATCATGCAGCCCTACTCTCAACACTTTGTCCATGAATGTACCTCTCAACTCGACTTTTTCACTCATGATATACCTTTTATAATGACATGCATATTGATCTTAAACCTTTGTGACCTTCAATAACATGTCGTCTTCTCAAGCCTGCAACTTCAAATTCATCTGAATAAGTTGATTGAAGCTTCTTTTTTTAAAACTTTTTTTCGTGCAGGCATGGGTGCGACACGGTCATCGCCAGCAGAAATCTGGAGAAACTCACTGAGGTACTGTCTCTACAAATCCTCAGCAACTCACTGATGTCATTACTCTGATGAAGAGTAACTCATCTTTATGTGTTTGTGTGGTTTAGGCTGCAAAAAAGTTAAGCAGCACTACAGGCAGACGGTGTTTGGCGATTGTCATGGATGTGCGTCAACCAGAGACGATTTCTGCTGCCATGGATGAAACCTTGAAGACATTTGGACGTGTTGACATACTAATTAACAGTAAGGCTTGAGTTAGAAGGTCAAACACAGTGCCTTAACCTGTGATAAAAACATGTCCCAAACTAACAGTCTATTACCAAAGAGATCTTGATTCTGTAGATATAATGATGTTGATAATCAGCTTAATACCCTCTGTCCAAATTTCCTTTTTTCATGATCTAATGTGTGGTTGCATATTATGCGAGCACATGTATTTTTTGAAAATAGTCATACAGTTTTGTGGTTTGTAATTTTTATTTCACAGATGCTGCAGGTAATTTCTTGTGTCCAGCTACATCGTTGTCATTTAACGCTTTCAAGACGGTAATGGAGATCGACACCATGGGAACTTTCAACACCAGTAAAGTCATCTATGACAAATGGTTCAAGGTAAAGATATACATTTCAAGAATTTTATTACTAAAATATCTCACTCCTTGGCTTTTTTTCTCACATGTAGAGATCTCTCTGTATGAAGCAGTACTTTATATTCAGTCTCATAGTTTGTGGCTTTATTTCTTTATCTCAGGATCATGGCGGCTCCATTGTCAACATTTCCGCCACACTGGGATACAGAGGTCAGGCTCTCCAGGTGCATGCTGGGTCAGCGAAGGCTGCAAACGGTTAGTGTTGATTTTGGTTTATGTTCTGCATAATTTGTATAAAGTCATATGTTTGTATTTATAAACATTTAAATATATAACAAGTATTTATACGAGTAATAGTGCTCCATGACAAATGGAAGAAACCATATTTAAGACAATAGTATGCAGATGAATCTAAAACTAGTATGAAGACTGATGTTCCTCATTTGTAAGGCGAATAAAAACATGGAGTTGGATAAAAGAGTGGAATAAATCATATTACATCTGGTGTGTAAAGATGGAATGAAATCAAAATTGTCCCCATTTATTTATTTTAATTCTAATTGTTAATGATTTATACATATTTACTTTTTTTAGTTTTTTTTTGTTTTGACCCTATAATGCCGGATACAAATTTTTTTTTTCAAGATAACTGTGAGGATATGATATGTTCTAAAGACAGAAAAGACAGATTTGGCACATTGAACTATTTACAAAAAAAAAAAAAAACATTTCAGTTCTTGAAATAAAATAAATGGTAGCTGAAATATATATATATATATATATATATGGGTCAAAGACAAAAAAGGGTTTAAGCATAAAAACAATAAGTGCAATACTGCTTTAAATTGTTGTTGTTTTTCCCC